GGGGCCCTCCGGTCGTTCCCCCCCTCTCGACGCCGCCTCGGCCTGCTTTAGGCGGAGGCCGGAGCCGGTGGTTTCGGCCGGGTGCTGCTCTGCGCCGCTGCGGCCCCGCGGGCTCCCGGAGCGGGCGTTCCCGTGGGGCAGCCGGGAGGAGCAGGGCCCGTCTGCCTGGCGTCGCCAGCTTCTTCGCCAGCCTTAAGTGTGTAGCAATTTATGTAGTTTTGATGTGGTGATCACGCAAAACGTATTGGCTGAGGAGGCCTTGCTGGGGATGGAGCTGCTGTTTTTGTGGGTGCCGGGGCTGCGTTCGGGGTCTGCCCCGCGTCTCGCCTCATCTTCAGCCCGGCGCTCCGCTTTCCGAGTGAGCTCTTCTCACTGGGCCCGCGGTGGCTCTGCCGGCTCCTGGTGCCCTACCTGGGCTGCGTCCGCAGAGACTCTGCGGTTGGCCCTTCTGGGTTAGGATTTGGGACTATAATCTTAGCGTTTCTGTGACTGACTGAGAACATTGTGTCTCCTAATAGTAAAAGTCTTTCCCATTGTCAAAGTACCGGCATGTCTGAATTTTCTCTTTTTTAATGATAATCAGCTATTTGACTTTTCTATGGTGAGACCAGAAGTGACTTGGTGTATAGTGCAGTCAAAGTTTTCCAACTGACCTATACCCACTTAGTGTTGCTCTGACTGGATTGTTCAGTGTAGAAGTTTATTACCAATACTTCTTAAGACATTCCTTTGTAATGCTGTTAGAAATTGCCTTGAATTTAGAGAAGCCATGTTTATCCTCTGTCACTTATTATTCGCTTGAATAAGTTACTCTGATTTGGATTTGAGAATGCTTTAATCTGTAACCCCTTGCTGACCATGTCTGTTCTCTCTATAGGGTTTTCTGTTCTTAGAATCGTAGAATCATTTAGGTTGGAAAAAACCCTTTAAGATCATCAAGCCCACCGCCAAACCATGACCCTAAGCACCACATCTACACGTCTTTTAAATGCCTCCGGGGATGGGGACTCAACCACTTCCCTTGTGCAATTTGGGAAAGGAATGAATTATCCTATTTTAATATACCACACAAAGTGATCTTTTCCTGAAATTTCCTTTTGCCAGTAGTGATCTAAATGTTAATTTTGGGTGCTACTTCTTTCTCACTGTCCGTAACAGTTAATTCTCCTCACTTCTTTCTGCAGTGCCTATTGTTGCTTATGCAAATGTTAATTTGTTTCTCTAAAACTTGCTTTTACAAGTTTCCAGAATTTTTCACATTTACTTTGCCTTTGTTTGGGATTCCAGTTTTGTACTTTTTTCTCTACCTCACAATATCCTGCTGCTGTTTAAGACAAGAGAACTGTAGGTTGTACTAGTCCCTCTAGTATTTTTTGCTTACAGAGTTGTTTCTCTTGTGGCCAGGGAGGACAGAATTATCCACAGAGGTTTCTTTGCCCACCTCCATTTGGGGTTAATATTCTTTCATCCGTTTTAAGCTCGTCACTGTGTTATACAGCTGTCCTCATAAGTTGAATAGTTGCGTATACCAACATCGGTAACTTCTGAATGTGTGTTTTTTCTTTAAAAGAAGAGTGAGCTTAAACTTCAAATTTTTCTCATGAAGAATGTGTTTGCGATCTAAAATAAGTGTTACTTGACAGATTGCTCTGCTTGGTTAGTAATTTTGAAGGGTTGTTCTTAAACTTGAAGGAAACCCTGAGTAAGACTATTCAAAGATACTCGCAAGTAGTTTGTGTTAAATATTTCATGTATTACGTGAAGAGTGCTTTCTGTATCCTGTTATGCTTACTGATGAGATTTGTTCTAAGCTTGTTGTTTACTTTACAGAATTCTGAGGATGTCCGATGTAAATGTATCTGCCCTCCTTACAAAGACCATTCGGGCAATATTTACAACAAAAACGTTTCACAGAAAGACTGGTGAGTGTGTGTGGCATAAAAAATTATATAATGAGTCTTACTGGTTAAAGACTTGTTCCATAGTGATTATATTGTCTCCCCTATGGTGGTGCCAGGAGAAATTACATCTCTTGCATAACTTACTGAACTTTTCTTTTAAAAGTACTCCAGAATTCAGCTCTAGCAAGGGACCAGGCTTGAAACGCGTAGTTTTTGCCCTGTCTTCTGTTTTGGTTTGCTTGCTTGCATGTTATTTATTTAGTTAGTTATTTAGACTTGGAAGTAGTAGAAGGGAAGAGGGTGTTGTAGTTTGAATTCAGTGATTTGAAATGGCATAAAGGCAAGGGAGCACGGCCATGGAACTAGGACTCAGGATTATTGTCTCCTCTTTCTCTACTCTTGAAATCCATCCTATCATTTAGAGACTATTGTTTCTGGAGATTTCTGTTCCTCAGAATTGCAGCCAGAGAGTGCAATTACATGACACAGCCTGAGCCATCTAACAACATTTTTTCAGAGCGAGAGAGGGAGGTCTTGCATCTCTGTGCCCCAGCAGCGTGCTCTTTTGTATTGTTTAGGCCAGCTATGGCACTTGTCAGACTCCTCTCCAAGCTGTGGACTGATGTGCGTAGCCAGGGATGAGGGGCTGGGGAAGAAAGGGAGATGACAGTGATTTGTTACATTGGCATAGCTCCCTTGTGTAATTTCACCTTGAGTATCCTTGTCTATGTGAATCATACAAATAAAACACCATGTTTTAGAGTTGTGTTGATGTTGGAAGTGCTCAGAGATTCTTGGGTCAGCCTATAAAAACGTGTCATACTACTTGATGTACTGACTCTTCTTCAGTTACCTTAAGAATTTATAAAAGACTTTTCAGTCTGATGAGTAGCAGCGGGTTGGCATCTTGATTATGAAAATTTCATGCCCTTGAGTAGGCCCACAAAAGTAATTATAGGAGTAAAATTAGTGATACAGATATGTATAGGGCTGTGCCTTGACTTATTAAATTACTTACAGGAGAACTGTGAGAAACAACACTGTAAATTTCAATCTAAGCTAATAACATAAAATGTACTGTCCAATCAAAATTACTATTTTTGTTCCACATGATTAACTTAACAACATTAGTCCTACTATGACAAATTAAGTTGCAGCAATGAAACATACTGGGAGAATTCCAGCTGCAGCAGACATTTCAGAGTAGCAGCGTTACTGGTTTTATTGTTCATTACTGCTCTGCAAATGAAAATGGATTTTTGCAGTGGGTAGCGCTTAGTGTGTGCCTTACTAGCAGAAAAGACCCTGTTTCCCTTTAAATCAATATTGGTACTGATTGAAGAAAAAATTATCTTTGAAGGCTTGACTAATTTTATGGTGACAGATACTGATGTATACAGAATCTCAAGAATTATTTTCCTATCTTAAATCTCGTTTTGTTGAGATCATTTCTTAAATGACCATCTGGGAACATTTTATGGCTTTGATCTTCTGTTTGCGATGTCTTCTTGCCACTTCTAAAAGGCTTGATTGCTGGCTTATATGCAATAAAATCCACAAATTTAGTGCCATACTTTAGCTTCTGCATCAGTGCAAGTGACTTGTTATTGAATAGAACTGGCTGATGTGCACCATCCTTTAGGCATTTAGATCAGTTACTCGTGAGACGAGCCAAATCAATTTTTAGTGTCTTTATGAATTATGTACAGTATAATGACCACTTACTGCCGGCTTGTCCAGACAAAAAATGAAAATTTAATTTTTACTGTTGAACCTGTAATGTGCATCATGATACTCTTATTTAGATGCTTCAGTTGTTTCACTTGGAGCGGTCTGTTCGTTGGCTTCAGACTGGCAAACAGTGCGTTATGCTAACATCAGTATGGGCTGGGGTGCTTTGACACCAATAAAAGTGTTCACCGTTCTGCACACAGGTTTGGAACTATTGCAGGCAATCCCATCCTGATGGATAATGCGCTCAGCAAGCATAGTGGTCCCTAAGCACCTGCAGGGTTAAATAACCCTCTTGGAAAGTGTTGGTGTTTATATTTTGTACTTTGAAAGAATTGGTGTACAGAGGCTGACTGCAGCAGTAGTCATGGATGTGGAAGGAGGGAGGACACCCTGTCTACAAGCTGAATGAACTGGAAATCTGTGCAGAAGCTGCCCTTCTGACTAGCCTAGCTTGCCGTGGAGGAACTGCTTCCTTGGTGCTGTTCCCGTGGGCGCAAGGGAGAGGGTGGTAATGTAGAGGCAGTTGAGTGGGAAAATTGTTTAGAAAAGGATCAGCCTTTTCTACATTTTCCTCTAAAATTACCATGGAATCGCAGTCCAAGGAAACACGTCATCAAAATTCTGATAAGCTTCTGATAGATTTTAGACTTCCTAGCAACCTGAAACACTGAACTGGAGGGAAAAAAATGCTGATATTAGTATTTGATATATTCACAGTAACAGATTTGCTACTGTACTTAAGCTGAATACAAGCTTTCTACTATACTTGTGCAGCATATTGATGCAAGCTTTCAATCATATGAACAAAAATTGTGTAGATGATAACTTGCATGTATTTTTGATTTTGTAGCTTGAATGCTGCGCTCCTCCACAGAACAGAATGTAATTCTACTTTCAAATAAATGAGAAAAATAAGCCTTCCACTCCCTTCCAGAGGATGTGACTTGACACTCAATAGTTTTACTTATGAAGAAGAAACAAAAAGAAAACAGAAGAGAGGAGTTGGTGTCTGGCCATGTGTTTGCAGTGTTGTAATCTAGCCCAGTAGGGTGCTGAATCCTAGGCTGCTGCTGTCACTTCAGGCGTTTTGTTTCATGACCTGCTTCTGACTGTGCTAACGTTGAGTTAAACAGGATAAAGGTGAAACATGATTTTTGTTCTGTCAGTCGTCTGCAGGGAGTCTGGGATGTGAACTCTGAACAGCCAACCTGAGTCAGCAAAAAGACCAAAATTACATAAGTTATTGGTGGAAGCAGTTGTCTCATGGCAGCTGGATTTTAGTGCTGTGATATAGAGTGCCCATAAGATCGTCAACTGTGCTTTTTAGCATGGGACTGACTTGTATTTTGTAATCTTTTAAGTCAAGTTATGCTTTCGCACCCAGGTCCGGTGCAGAAAACCAAATGCTATTTATTCACTATCTTGTTGCTTAGAGAAACAACCCATCTGACTTCTTTTTTTTCTTCAATGCCTGTAACTTGTGATGGCAAGAAAAAAGAACTTCTGTTCATGAACACCAAAGAGAGGTTAATCTTCCTTCAGCTACTGGAAGGATAGAATAAGGCTCTTTTGAGTATGATGAAGAAAGAAGTGTATAGCTGGAATTTACTTTCATCCATGATGTCAGTGTCAAGTGATGCATTTGTGCTGGAATTCAAATCCGTGGACTTGTTATGCTAACAGCTTTAATGCTTTCACTGAGAAATGAAAACATTGTATTGAGTTCTAAAGGTCTTAAAACTTGTTTAGCAGCTTGTCAATAGCTGAATTTCTTGTTTAAGTAAAATAACTGTGGAGTAGTGATTCTATTTATTTATTTATTGAATCTCGGATACCTATAATTTAGAATGGCTGAACTTAAGCAAAGGTGGCTTCTCAGCTCGTGCAGCTGGGGTCTGCATGCGTAGTGGAACAGGTAAGCTAAAACCAGCTCAATACTGACTGAGCAGTTTCTGTCTGTCTTCAGTGATTGTCTTCATGTGGTTGAGCCAATGCCTGTCCCTGGACCTGATGTAGAAGCATACTGTTTACGCTGTGAATGCAAATATGAAGAGAGAAGCTCTGTCACAATTAAGGTAAACAACGTAATTCTGTTGGCATATATTAAATGCTTCAACTGATTGGTAAATATGTCTGTTGTCTTTTAGAGAAATATTCTTTTTAAAGGGAAAACTTTTCTAAAACAGCTTAAGATTTAACTTTTTTCATTATAGTTTTTCACAATTTATCTTGAGTAGTAACAATAGCATCAAGATATAGCTGAAGGAGTGGGCTTGAGATCTTTTATTGAAGATCTCCACTTTAGAGATCAAGCTTTATACCTTGCTGAAATTCTGAGTGTTCTAGGGCATTTTGTCAAGCTTTGGACTTTGTTTTTGTTATTATTTTAGAGGGCCTCTCATTATTCAGCTGTCTTACTTGCTTACTTTAAATTTTCCTTATACGTTGGCAAGCTAAAAAGCAAAATTGTCCATCTTTGCTCTAATAGACGATTTCTGTATTCTTTGCATTCTTATCCTATTGGAGCCATTGAGCCCTAGGCTGGGGTGCATAGATTGTGCAGTGCATCTTTTCTTCTTTTATAACACAGGCACCTTTTTTTGGTCTTTTAGAAGTTTGGTGTTTCTTTTTGCCTTCCCATTTTTCTTAGTGACTGTTTGAATGCAGATCTATGCCAGAGAATGGAGACCATGCAGGAACCCCCAAATTTGTCATCTGTTTAACGGCCAAACTGAACAGTTGTCTTGGTTGAGGTGAAGTTTATAACACCAAGTAGGTTTAAGAGGCATAGCATAAGATTTTTTAGCAAGAGAAACTGTTTCAAGCTGTCTGCCTCAAACCCTTGTTCATGGATTTTAAGTCATCTGGTGACACTACTGAACATCGACAGGCTCATCACAAACTTTGCATGTGCTCTTCTTTTGGTCCTTGCTGCCTGCTGAGAGATTGTGGGGGGAATGTCACAATTCTGGCATAAACTGTGCTTGCATTGTGTAGGTTACAATCATCATATACCTGTCTATTTTGGGCCTACTTCTTCTGTACATGGTGTACCTTACACTGGTGGAACCTATCCTGAAGAGACGTCTCTTTGGACATTCACAGCTCATACAAAGTGATGAAGACATTGGGGTGAGTTCACCAGAGTGTCTGTGTACTTGGGTTAACATAAAGATTGGGGTGGTTAGTTGTTATATAACTATTTGGGATGAGCAGCTATTTTTGCCAGTAAATGCTTTTCCTGAAGTGAAAGGAAAACCAAGCTGTGTGATGGCTTCTGTGAAGCCACTCTTTCATTTTTCACTGGCCTAGAAAGTAGTAAGATGAGGACTGCTTCAGTTATCCCAGCTCTAGACAGATTATTTTCTCAGAGAAGAAACAGAGTAGGAACAGAGGTAAGCATATATAGGAGGTACAACTTTGTAAGTGTTAATGATCCATACAGTGTTGCTAGTGATCATATTTATGCAAATTGCTTGCTGCTTAGATTTTTCTCTACAAAAAGAAAGTAGAGGGGTTGCATCTTTTATTGCTCCAGTTTGAATTTGTTGATGCTAAAAATTCAAGAAGAAATTATTATAATGAAGAAAAATAGTGATTGATGCTGAAATAATTTCTAGTATTACAGCTAGAAACCAGAGTGTGACAGTATATTCCAACAGATTAGAACAGCCTTTTTTGGGAGGACAAGGGGAGTAGTCTATTAGTGACTTGTTTTCCTGTCTTTACTGGCCTTCCCAATCTCTAGCACGGTGGTTTTGACTTCTAATAAAGATGGAGCAAAATTGTCTTCAGTACCATTACAAGAAGGGAAAGTAAGGCCTAATGAAACTTTGTATTGGAAAGAAAAAAAGACGCTTCAGTACCTGATTAGTGTGGATAAGGAATACTGGTTGGTGGGAGTAGGTCGTCTGGGTATTGAAGGGGGACTTAAAATAGTATAAAAATATGGACTATGGCTTTGCATCTGATGAATTTGTGTGCATCTGAACCTGATGAATGTGCATGCCTGGGAGAAGTATTGCCATAAAGTACTGTGAGGAAAGTTTTCTAAAATGGCAGCTGGGTTGGTGGTAAACTGTCAGGGTTGAACCACACAAACTGATAAAACAATTCTGAAGTGTCAGTACCAATGTGCTTTCTATATTGAGCCCTCAAGCAGTACTGCTTTTACTGATGAAGTATGCTTCAGGTGTGGCATAGCCTTAGAAAGAATTTCTGAAACCAGACCCAGAGTATGAAATGGGAAGATTGCTGTCTGCTTAGCCTGAGACTTTCACCAGACACGAGCGCTTTTTTACTGTTGAAGTAAACTGGAGCTAGTCAAAAAGACTTACAGCATTTATTAGTGTCTTACAATAGAATCATTAAGAACATTTTCATCATTCCTTCAAATAAATAGGAAGTTAATAGAAGGAGATAAATAACTTTGTTCTTGGTGAAACAAAATTATGATGGCAACACTTTTTAAAAATCTGTTTTAAAAGCGCTGTAATTCTGGCTGCCTGTTGCTTCGGTGGCTCCATAGATCTGAAGGTATCAAAACTGGTAAATGCTATGCTCTGTTGCGCTGTGTATCTGCAGATTTTAATGCGAGTTGCACTCAGTTTCTCCACGCTATTTTTTTTGTTTTGTTTTGGAGTGACGACTGTCATTGCTAGTAAACTGAGGAAAAGCATATTCTTTAGTTCTACCATTTTTTCATCAACAGTGGCCTCATCAGCCATCTTGACTTAAAAAGGTGGGTTTTTTCTGCAGAGGGGGATATTAAGTATTCAAAATCAAGCATTTTCCTAGATAATAGCTTTTATCAGCTGTGCCTTTTTATTTACCTTGATTTCACAATAAAAATATGTGTTTGTTACCCAAGTTTGAGCTAACATTGTCTGGAGTAAAGGTTCTTTGGACAGAGGTATACTATTGCTGTTATGTCCCACTGTTTCTGTGCTTCCTTGTGTATTACATGGAGACGTATTCCAAATGTCTTTGTATTGACATCTTAAGATTTTCCCAGTCACTTCTAGGAGGTTTTTTTTTTTTTATGGAAAGGAGGGATTTGAATGGCCCTTTTCCTGTCTGCATTCTTATAGTAAATTGGGCAGATTCCTACTTGAATTAAATGAACTTGTGCTGTATGTTATACCTCAGACAAATCCTTTTTATTTTATACTTTAGATAAATTATATTAATACCTCCAAATCTGGGTTAGAATCTTCTGATTGTAGGTGGAAGAAGTGAAATAAGTCCTGTGGCAGAGCTCAGGTTAACTGCAGAATGAATTTACCTTGAAATCTGGATCCATCTTAACCAGTGTCATGTTTTGCTGTAACTGGTACTTTGACCATTACCTGTGCTTGTGCAGTCACGAGTGCTTGTATCTGCAGTAGTGCTTGGAACAAAAAGCACTTCAGGTCCTTGCTTAGTTCGTGTTGCTCCTTTCCTGTTTATCCTCCTTGTGTGACAGTGAACGTGAAATAATTTAAGGTGCCTCATCATTTATCCCCATCCTTGCCTTCCCTCTTGCAAGTTCTTGAGGTATTGATCCTTGTCATGCTTTGGAAATACCGTCTGCATTGATTTTATTGCTGAATTTAAAGTCAGTAAGTTTGCTCTTTCTCATTGCCCGTTGATGGCAGTGGCAACTGATGAATGTAAGCCACTTGCATAGACTTCTTTCCTCTTAAATTCCTTTTTCTCCTTGTTGTCTATGTAGAAATTGACAGTAACTAGCCTTTGAGCTGAGATTGTTGTTTATCAGGAAAGCCAGTAGTGCTCTCCCTTCCATCATCTATTTTATGGTAGAAATGTGTTGCTGTTGTGATTTTGTTTCCTTGTGAATGAAGTGATTTGTCACCAGTTAACTGCCCATTCTTGATATATCCTCCTGCATAATTTTTTGTGGTGAGAGTATAGCTCTTTGGGTCAGGGATTGTCTCTTGTTCTCTCTGAGCATATTTCTTAGCCCGGTGAGGCCTGTGTGTGTGTGGCTTTGGGACTTGTAGGCATCACTTCAAGGGGTATCATTAATGATAATCTCTGTGCTACTAAGAATTATCATTGAGCTACTCTACACAGTCATGTCACAAATAAAGTATCCATTAATGTAAATGTCTTCAAAAGTGTTCTGGGGGAAAAAAAAGGAATATGAAGTGTAGACATAAAAAAAGACAGTTATTTAATACAGGACATAGTTACGTTATTTTTCATTATGCATTTTATATATGATGCTTTCTGACAGCTTTAGCAACATGACTTTGTCCAAAACAGTTTGATACCCAAATAAGAAGCTCAGTTCCAACTCTTATTGTTTATAACTTGATTATATTTACCAGAAAAAAATAAACCTTTGCAGGTACTGTTAGAAAACAGACAGAGTAAATATTAAACAAGCACTCAGTTGTTGTTGAGCTGTCACTTAAACAGCTGTATTGACACTGTGCTTTTAGACAGCTCAGTACAATGGGTTTAGTTTGGTAAACATCAGAGTGTGTTGGTTTTATGTAGAAGCTGTGTGTGAACACCCTGAACTGCCTGACAGTAAATGGCCAAGAGCTGGCAGAGAACTGACTCTTTAATTCAGTTTTAAAGTGAAGTGCGATACACGACAGTAACAGGAGGCTCCCAGCGCCTGGGTCTGTTCTAGGCTTCTGTCCCACCAGCTGCTAATGGATGCAAGACTGTGGTTCTGATCTTGCAGCTCACCATGATGTCTCTGGGTAGCAGATAATTGTTTGACAGTACAATGAAGTTTGGTCTATCTGGGGAACCTGTGGAAGTTACTTTGAATGAGAAATGGAAGTACAGTTCTAACTATTCGAAAACTTGCTTAGTCATTGTTACTGACCAGCTCGTTGAAACAGCTTGTTTACCTTAAAAAAAACCACACAAAACAAAAAACCAAAAACAAACAAAAACCCCCTCGCATCCGTTGGAATGTAACAACAAAAAAGACTAATGTAATTGCTCAGTGGAGCTATTGAGATCTAACTAATGATTTTTGCCATTCCAGGATCACCAGCCTTTTGCAAACGCACATGACGTGCTGGCTCGTTCTCGGAGCCGCGCCAATGTATTGAACAAAGTGGAGTATGCCCAGCAGCGTTGGAAGTTACAGGTCCAAGAGCAACGCAAATCTGTCTTTGACCGTCACGTTGTGCTGAGTTAATTGTGTCTCAGTAAAAGAACTCCAGGGAAGTAATGTGGACTAATTGAAAGAGCTGACTTATGTCTTCCTGATCCTGCCAATTCAGAAGGATTTTCTTGAATGGTTCATTATTGATTTAAAAAAAATAAAGAAAAAAGTATTTGAACTTTGAAGGAATGTACTGGAGTGGAAGCAATTTAAAAAGATTAGTTAACCAAAAGCTAAAATCTTTACATTTTCAAATGGCTTTTACTAACAAAACTGAAAAGAAACGAAACCCTAAGATATCTTGGGTTGCCACTGTGGTACCTTATTTACAGTTGTGACTTTATGGTGGTTTTTAACTATACATTTCTCTCTACTATTTATGTGGTTAAAAAGTACCTGGAAACACAGTAATTACTTACAACTCACTAATCACTTTATGTAAAGACCTTTTGTAAATATACTTGGATTTTCTGCTGACTAATGCTAGGTACTGGAAATCTAAATCTTGCAGTGTAGTTTTCGTATCAGAGAATTAAATCCTAATTGGCTGTATTCATCATTTGGTTTCTTGCACTCGTACTTTCAAGATGCTTTTATGTCAAGTGATGTTTGCAGATTTAAGGCAAAACTTGAACGGACACTGACTCTTTGAGCTGCATAGTTAAAGTACTGTGATGTAGATAAACTCAGATGCAGTGTGTATCAAGACAGTGTTGGCATTTTGTTCTATTTTGCTTTAATAGCTTAATATATTGTATGTATGTGATATCTCTTAAAAATATTCTCCCTTTCTTTTCATGGGTAAAGTCTCAGGAGTTAGTATATGATGAAATATTTATTATAAAAATCTTTCTGCATTTGTCTGGATTGATGGTGTAAGGCACATACTTTCTCTAGCACCTGTCATCTTGGGAGTTAGGTGTATTTTTTTATCTGTGATTCTGTACTCATCTCTCTTAAGAGGTACACAGTTGCTAGATGACTGATTTTCATATATCCCCTTTGGAATGTAACAATTAAAGATAAAACTGATTTTTGAAAAATGGATGTGCATTATCTGTATGTCATCATTTTTCTCCCTCATTACCCTGCATGTAAATTCCATCTATAAAAGCACTTCTCTGAAAATGCTTTCGCGTAGCAATATGCACTTGTTCAGTGCTCAGATAAAGGAAAGAAAGGCTCACCAAATTGCTAATTGAAAAAAGTTTTTAATCCCTGACTCAAATTTAGCTATGCATATGTAGTTACATTATTGTCTCATACAGTTTTCAGTTCCAGTGTGGAAAGAAGTGGTCCATGGAACAGGACTATATGTTGCCGGGTGCAATTTTGGCTTGCTTAGCCCACAGCCTGGGGAACAGAGTAGCACGGGAAATAAACTGTACCTGTATACATAGCTCTGCCACATCAGGGGTGGAAACATGGTTGCCCCATAACAACATTTGCACTGTCTGCAGCTCTTTTGCAGATACAGAGCTTCATTCTCTTCTCAGTCCTGTAGTCTTCCAAAACCTGAGTTAATCTGGAAGGAATTATAATAGGTGGCTAATTGGTGAGGCACAGGATTCTTTCTTTAAATTAAAAAAAAAGCACAAGGTGGATTGACAGAACAAAATCCAGACTTGGGTTCAGTTACTGTGTTCAACATTGCTCCCTGAAGAGTCAATAACCGGTTATGACAGTGATGTACCTCAGGTCTGCTAAAGAAAAAATAATGTAACTTCTCTGTTGAATAGACGCCTTTCTACCAGTTCTAGTAGATGTTCTACCTCTTCGCTGCCTTTCTGATGAGGCGTGAAGCTGGTGTGGGGAGGAGGATGCAGAATATAGCATTGTTGTGGCCCCACACAAGGACAGCAGAAGCAGAATGCTTTCTTTGATGGCTGACAGTCCCAAGAAGACAAGACTGGATGTATGTAGCTCTCCTGGTAGTAGATCAAGTGTTGCTAATCTTATAGTGTCTTCTGAAAGTTTTTAGCTAAACTGGTTTGGTTTGGGATTTTTTGTGTGGTTTTACCTTGATTGACAGAAGGGCCAAATAGTGAGATAATCTAAAGTGTCAAGGTAATCCTGTAAAATGTGGGAGTTTTGAAGTTAGGTGTCCTATTTCCTTGCACCTGTACAATTGGACAGCTATATACTGATACACGTAACATCTATATACCTATATATATTTGACTATACAGACTGATTACTCCATACTGTGTTTCTAAGTTTAAGAAAAACTTTAAAGTGTTTGTCTTGCTACTCATTGCTCACTGTTTTCCAATCTTGTCTACCTTCATAAATGCTTTATTAGAGAGCTTTTATATGGTGTTATACTTCTTAACACTAAGGGAATTTCCCAAAATTACAGGTGTAATGAAGATTAAATTTGAGGGTATTAAGCTAACTAATGTGTGTCCTCATCTCTAATCTGGAGACAAATTCATCACAAGTTTCTTCTAAATAAATGCTGATTTTCTGTGTTTAAAATGAAGTTATGAAAATTAGTTTGCTTATGCCTTGATGGCAAATATTTAACTAAATTCTAGCTGATTGTTATATTTAGACATTAAAGTATGAAATACCAATAAATGAAAATACTGCTTTAGTAAACCGTAACAGAATACATACAGGAAGTAAACAAAGTACATTCCTGATTACTTTTTCAGGTAATCTGGTTGTGTTCAATACAGTTTTAAAATTTCTGGCCCTTAATGCCAAGTTTTGTTGCCATCATAGCTGTGGTGTGGGTGGAAAAACCAAACCAGAAATGAGCAGATCTAACTGTAAGCTACTTTGCATGTTGTCAATTGACTATAAATTGCAGCAGTCATTGACTCAGCGGAACAAGCTACATAATTCAGGTAAGAGACTTGCGTGTTGCTGTATCTAGCAACAGATCTTCACTGAATATCAGTGTGTTTATAAATCACTTCTGCCAGCTATTCAGCAACAGTGCTTCCGTAGCTTTTTAATGGATTGTGTTTAATATGATATCTTATTAAATAAGGTGTAAGAAAAATGGAACGTTAACTGCTTTTTTTAATATCATTTGGATATTTTCAGGTATTATTCATCAGTCTTAAAATAGCACGTCTTGTTTCCTTGGATTTTACTTTCATCTGAAGATTGGTGAGTCACTAGTCTGAAAGGAAAACGATCCTAATACTTGCATTTTGCACTTCGTGCGGGTACTAAGGCAGCAGATAACTGGTTTAGGTAATGCTAATATGCAGCAGAAGTGTCAGTATTAAGCAACAAATACTGCAAGTATCTCTTCTTGCGGGGTTGTGTTGGTTTTGGTTTCTTGCTCTATAGCGATGTTTTGCTATATAGTTTTTTTTTGCTGTGTAACAGACTTTTTTCCTCAGACAATGTTTTTAAGTTATTAGGAGTAGAAAGTTTTTAGACAATAACCGAACCTGTGTAAGCAGAAAAGGGAAAGATGACTCTACTATTTTCATTTTATAACAAGTATATATATACACTTCTGATTTCCTGCATGTATATTAATGTAAAACGGATGTGCATTCATGCTTTCAGCCTACCTACAGAAGTACCTGTTTAAGATGCATGTGACTTTCTCTCTTGTATAACAGCATGCTATAAATGAATTCTTAAGATTTCTGTTGTGAGATCTATGTGCATTAGAAAAAGAAACAACACTGAATACAGAGGCATTTTGATAGAATATGTTGTGAGGATAGGTTCATACTGAGTAAAAATTCTTTCTGTATTAAATGTGGCAGGTATGAAGTCATTAGAAAATGTTAAAATATCCCCATATCCTTGTGAAGGATTAAGGGGATCCCATTTACGTTATGGAACAATGGTCGGAACATTTGAAGCTTTGCAAGGTTTTTGTGAGTATGGAATCTAGATGTTTCTAGTAACCTAGTTCAATGTTCAGGTTTGGTTTCCATTTTAGAGGGTGTAATATAACCTAAGTGTTTTAGGCAGCAATGTATAGATGTGGAAGTGGACGGTGAGTAAGAGCATTTTGGATAGATTCTGTGTAGCAATTCGCTTGCAATCCATGAGGATGGATCACAGTAATTCTTTAAAAATTAGCTAGTTATTGAAAATTTATTTTTAAGTAGCTATTCGGTAACAATCGTTACAGTTATGCTGATATGTAGCTGTTTGAATAATGATATTGGGAAGGCACTATAATGTAGCTTCCTATAAAACTGCAAGATTACCTTTCTAATAAATATATAAGGGTGATTTGTGTAGTTACGCCTGCTGTAATGCTGCTCTGAAGAGAAGGTATGTGATTTTAGTAGGCCAGTCTGAGTTACAGGTTTCTAGCAGTGCCCCAACAACTGTGTGCAGTCCCTTCATAGTACAATAATTTATAATTGGAACAATATTATTAGGACCTGCATTTTTTCTTTAATAAATTGATTATTTCATAATCCTCTATCAGTAGGATTGTATTTATTGTTTTATATCTGTGTTTAATCTGCAGGTGAGTACAGAAGGAGCATGAGGACGCAAGGAGATGTCAGGTTTAGCAGAAATTCATCCTCTAAACTTTTTGTAAAACTTTTTATGTAGAATGGATGTAAGACCTGACAGACATAAAATTAAGATTGACTTCCATTCCCTGCACAAGTTTTCCATCTAATTAAGACAGTATAGTGAATAAGACATCAAATGACTAGAGAGAAAAAATAATTTGCCTTTGAAGGCTTTTTGGTGTGGATAGGGAGTCTGTTACTGGAATTGTAGGTTTAATTTTTTTCAGGGAGGAGAAGGGGGTGGAGACAGTGCCTCAGATGTTGGCCTGCTTTGTTTATTGCCTGTGGAGATGTTAGGTTCTGGTGGATTTGGAGCAAGCTAGACCTATGTGGAGTACATAAAGGTAGATTCTCTTCATTTCTAAAGCTGAGGTAAAAGGAGACTGCTGTTTGCTTTAGGAAGCTTTAGTGGCTTTATTTTCTTAAAATCTGTTGTGAATTATTGTAATTAGTGTTGCTGACTTGCACTTTCTTGTATTTTCAAATGGGACATTGCCTGCTCCATGTAACGATCTTACAACACCATTCTGAAATGTCACAAATGCATTAAAAGTCTCTTCTGGAAAATGCCAGTAATGCCAAGTGTTGGTAAGTCCAGGTGAGTTTTTTCTACTGTGCAGTATGAGTTGTTTAAACTATTATGTAATTATGCATTTCCAGGTTAAATGCAGAACCTGATGGATGGCAAAAGCTACCGTAACCTCATGGACAAGTTGTCCATCTGTACTGAGTCTCAGCGCATACAGCTGGCCAGGCCTTTCTGTGCCGACCCAGTGGTCACATTTCACCTGTACCCAGAAACACCAAACCAGGTCACTTGCTCTGAAGATTTGTCGTTCCTTCCTTTCATGTCTGAGCATGCCATCACGGAGAACTTCTACAGTGAGCCCTGCACCTTTCCTTACCAAGTGCCCCATTCCAATTACCGCAGAAGTGAGTACTCCTATGGGCCAGCTTTCATCAGAAAGAGGAATGAAAGGGAAAGACAGAGGGTTAAATGTGTCAATGAAGGCTATGCTAAACTGAGGCATCACCTACCTAAGGAATACTTGGAGAAACGGCTCAGCAAAGTAGAGACGCTCCGTGCTGCAATAAAATACATTACCTACTTACAGTCTGTTCTGTACAGTGATTCTGTGGTGGCAGAAAAAAATGTTGTGGAGCCAAGCCAAACACCAAAAGCAGTTAACAAACAAAACCAGTTTTTGAAGACGATCTAAACCGTTCCAAACCAAGCAAAAGTTATCCTGTCTGGGAACCTAGTAGCCACTATATTGTTAATGACGCTCACGTTCCTGGCATATCTTAGGAGCAGATCATAGCGTGCGTCAGTATCAGCCCACAGAAAAGAGTTTTGATTTTGCAGATAGTAACTACTCTTAGATATGAAAAAGGCAACTGGGGAAATCTCATCTGAATGGCCTAAGTTAGTTAATTCACAGAAATTGGAAAACATTTCTAAAATTGTCACCAAACCAAAAATGGAATACCTATACGTGTGAAGTGACTGTATGTATCATCACAACCTGCATGCTTTAAAATAAAATCTTTCCACTGATGGGACTGAGATTCCTCTCATTTTCTGTAATGTTACTGGTTTATTCTCACATGCACTTTCTTAAAAGATTTTTGATCTAATTGCCAGTGTTTCTCTTAAAAGGTCTTTTTAAAGGTTCTCAGGAATGGTGTTAGATGTCAACAGAAAGGATAACTTAGTTTAAAAAGAGGAAAATAAAAAGAGGAGGGTAGCAGCTCTCTGAAGCACGGTTACTGAACATAGGAAGAGCATAAAGTCTTGCAAGTGCTGCTCCATCCTTTTCTTATTAATGAATATTTTAATCCCATTAAAAACTGTTGACTTAGCCTAATTTCTGTTGAAAATTCGATTCTTCTTCAGCTGTCACTGCCCTTAAAAATGACTAGGACTGCTCACACAATACACAGTATAAAGAGGGTTGGCAAGGTCTTGCCCTTGCGGGGGTGGGTGGGAAATCCTGCAACAGAAATTTTTTGGGACTTTCACTGATAATGGTTGAGGTCTGGGGTGGTCTTCCCTGACCTCCCAGTCTGTTCCTCTGTACTATTGATGGTTTCAGCTAAGTGGTATAGAATAGATTTATGTGAAGATGGTAAAGAGAGTTTAGCTCATAACTGGCAAAGTGTTCTTAACATTTGCTCTATGTAAGGGAATTGTATTATTTGTATTAAACAAGTCCGTTGACAGCATGAGAGCAGGTAGCCTGTGGGTGCAACAGAATGTACAGAAAATGGTTACAGACTTCCTAAGTGCTGTATCCTTGTCCCTAATCACAATCGTCTCCTCTGTTACCTTATTTTTATAGCAGTGAATTGAAAAATGCCTACAAAATGCAATTTAGTATTCCTCCCACCCACCCAAAAAAGAGTTAACAATTGTTAAGGAGAAAATGAAGATGAGGGATCACAGCAGAGATTAACAGGTAGATTTCTGCATTGTATTCTGGCATGTTTTTGATATGCACTTCGCAGGGCAGAATTCATTAATCCTTCCCCTTTGTTATGAAAAAGGAAAGTTTGTAAAGTGATCTGACCTCAGTTTGTCTCAGCTTCAACCTTTCTGTCCGCATTTCAAACCAACTTATTTGTTACACCCTGTGGTGGTGGGCTTTTTTTTCTAAACCTGACCTGTAGCTTTGTAGGATGCTATTTTTTGCCCTGCAATAGCAGGCAGAAAGCCTAGAGGACACTGCGTCCTCTTATCCCTCCTCTACCCCTGCAGTCTTTCAGTGCAATATCTAGATCAACATGGAGCTGAAAATTGAGTGGATACATGGCAGACAAACGGTACTCTCTGTAGTCATGTTCCACTGGTTTTTAACTGGTAAGGTCAGGGTGTGTGATCCTGGTAGTAAGGACTGTGGCAACCTCCGTAGCAACTAGGAAACACTGGCAGCAAATGGCTTCCTGCGTCAAACAGGCAAAAGGGAAAGATTTCTGCATCGGGGCTAAATCCGAATCAACCAGATGTAGTGTTATCAATAGCTGGTAAGTGAAACTCTGCTGTGTCAAAGTACTTGGAGTTATCCAGAAATAAAAATCTCATGAAGTGTTGCACAATTGCGTTTGTCAGTGCCCTGTTTTATACAGAAATAGGGGACCTGGCTCCCAGCAGTAACAGCACTGAATGGGTTTAAAATGTCCTTTAATGTAGAATTGATAGTTGCATTTCTTTGCAAAGTATTAACCAATTCCATCTTGTTTTGGTTTATAATAGGGGAGTTTGTATAGTTGTGAAACAAGTGAATATATTGTGTTGATTTGCTGACTTAAAGACACATTTTGCAGCAGTTAATCCACTCTTCTTGCTAGCTTTGGTGTGCTAGTTTTCTGAAATTATGTATATCTGGGAGTCCTCATACAAAGCACTAACAGATCATCTCTCTTAGATGAGAGACAAAATACCATTTAAACATAATATGAATGCTTAAACTGTATTTTGTAAAGTAAATTAGGCACTTAAAATTTATATGTTGTTGAATTTCCATGCAAATTTTAGCCTAAGCATGCTAGACATTTCTAAGCAATATAAAAAAAAAAAAGGAATCGAAATGTGTCTACTACATCTTGTCAGATTACCAGAGATAGCATCACATCATCAATCTTACCGTGACAGCCTCTGAATAGTTATCACTTGTCAAATCTGAGCATCTCATTCTTTCTCATGGCAAGCCATAATCCTACTGTTATAAAACATGACAGGGCAGCTGAAAGATCAAAATATTTCCTCTTAATACATCACTACAAATAAAACAAGTAACAGGCAACCGTAATCTAACATCACGTTCAAAAACTGTCACGTTTACTCAGCTTGTCAACTTCAGCTGTAGTTTCTGTCTCAGCTTGTAAAACAGGGAAGGTTTGGCTGGGACTGTGTACAAGAAAGCTTTAAAGGAGAGTGTAGGTATAAGAAAGGAGCTGAATGTTACAGGAGGAAACAAAAGTTGGAGGGAGGTGAAAGCTACTGCTTTCCTGGGACTTTGACAGCATTTCTGGTTTCCTTGGGTGTTTCTGTCCCTCCACCAGGTCGGGATTTGGATGACTGAAGATCACTGAAGTCACTGATATGGGTTCATCTGACCAAATGCTAGTCTGGATATTTTGAATTTGTTCTTTTTAAATAAAAATAAGCAATTAATAAAAGCTACTGAATTCTTGAGGTACACTGGAAAGCATTTGCTTGTGTTGGAAAATGCCAATACATTGTCTCTCTTCTACCAACAAACAGATCACGACTGAGTCCTGTAGGTAGCTGCTTTTGCAAGAATGGCTCGTTCGGAAGGGTTCCTGCCTACAGGCTGCAGGTATTGCAGTGCAACGCCAGCTCTGGACAAGTTCTCGTGCTCCAGTGTCATACCTACTGTCAGCCCCTGCTGTAGGAGCTCTGTTGTAGTGCATCCCGCCTGGATCGCCGAGCCCCTCGCCCCCCAGAGGTAAAATCAAATTCTTGTTTGAGTCTGTGCCTTGTTCTTTTTCATGATACCTAATAGGATAAAACAGTCTGGTCTGTCAGATTAATAAATTAGCAGCTTGAACATCATTTGAGCTTTCCCCTCCCCTGCACTGGCAGTTTTTTAGATGGTATTAACTAAAGTGATTTGCTACCCTGGAGATTATGAAAAGCAAAGCCTGAGTAAACCTATCAAAGAAACATTCCTTTAATATTATTTGGATAAATAAAAGCATCTTGCGTTAGCAGCCATCTTCTGTGAAGTGTTTCTAATGCTTTGTGACAGGGGATTATTTTTCCTGTTTTGAACTTGAACCTGTCATCAAACAGCAGCTTCGTTGTTTACTTTTCTACTTTTCTGTTGTTCCCTGAATGCCCCAGTGTAAACCATCAGCTACGGCGCTCTCGAGTGCACCTATGCTGTGCTGTGTGCTGGAGATGGATCCTTTCTTCGGATCTTAAGGGTTGCATTGGCTTGCCGTGTAAACAGCAAAGGGGCTAGTGCAGGTAATGCTGGGCCAGGATTCCAGTGTATTCCTGGCTTACTTCCTCTAAACCAAAGAAATCTGGGTAAAACCAGGCACTGATGTTTTTTTCCCGAGAGCAAAGAATTGTCCCAGCACAAGCAAGTTTTCTGTTTCTTCCCACATACTTTGGCCTGTGGGAGTGCTACAAAATGAGGTGGAGTGATCCAGTTCTTAAATCGTACGAGATTTGTTTTTTTTCATGACCTACAGAAGCTGTTTCTCCCAGTGCTGACCCATTTTCTTTTCTTCAAGGTGCCAATGGATTAGCCACTGCCTTCCCTCCCCTGGCCCAGCATGGAAGAGGCTGAGCGCATTGGGGAGATCAGTGGGCTTAGACAGCAATGTCCCTGTGCTGGTGAGAGGGGAACAAGATGGATTTTATTACCGCGGTACAGTAAAAGAGGAGATAGAGGTGAGTGACGGTTGCTGTGCAGTAGTCATGGGTATGTGTAACAGGGTGTCCAGTCTACCAGCAGTCCTCGCGCACCACCTGAGTTCAGTGTTGCAGTTTTGATTTCAGCTGGTGCATGAGTTAGAGAACAGATCACCAGGACAGCAGATGCTCATGGTTATGTCGATTCATAAAGCTCCCGACGTGCCTGATTCCAGGCTGCCCACATCTCCTGCTGCCTGGCATGCCGGGTGAGCCTCTTGCATGCAGCACAGCCTCAGGCACCAATAAACTAATAATGATCAGATCCTTGCTCTGCTCAGCCTCCTTTACTGAGTCCATTTCTAGGAGTGAGCAGGTGTGTTTCGGGGGTCGTCATCTTGTGCAGAAGACGGGTGCCCCCCAAGCTCCCAGTTCCTGGTGAGAGCAGTGTTGTTGTGCACCTTGCAAGAGCAGGCCCTCTGCTTCTGCTGGCGCTGGGCACTGAGCCAGGCTCAGGCAGCGTGAGTGCTGTTGTGAGCAGTGTACCGGCTGCTGTTGTGTGTAGACACATAACCATCAACAGCACAGGAAAAGCGTTAGTGTTTTATGTACACACTTCCAGCTTGAGTCAGCTACAGACCAATGGCTCGGTGTCTTTTCAGAAATGTTAGTGAAAGCTTTAATTCATTAGTTTGTTAGCACTTCAAACTTAACAGAAAAAAGAGCCTATTATTTCTCAAGAACAGGGAAGTACCTCGCTTCATTGTTGATGGAAAGCCTCTTGACAGGCCTTGATTTAAAAGAATATACAAATTCCCAACAATCCCCCCAAGAAGCAGAGTTAGTGTTGTCTGTAATGAGGAAGGACTTGGACGTGGCTGAAGAACAGGTCTGAACAGCTTCTGTGTCCCTTGTTATCTGGTGCACATGGCGTGGTTTGTGAAATCCACTTGCACTGTATCTATAGCTTTTTTTCTTGGGGAAGAAAATACAGGTCCTAGCAGCAGTGAATCTGTACATGTGCTTCACTCAGCCTGCTTTCTGGTGAGCCTCACGAAGGTCTTTCTGGCTGTCTCAATGCTGGACTAACACCACACACTATTTAGTGACTGTTCAGGCTTGCTTGGTGTTTTGACCTAGCCACATAGCCACAGAATGGCCTCCTGGCAAAGGTTACATGACCTGACACATTAGGGACTGTTTTTCAGAGGAACTATTATTTTGTTCCTGGTAACAGAGTGAAAGAGGCATGTTCCTGATAGAGTTTGCCAAACCACTTGCGTCACATGGAAGGCATCCAGTGTGTGTGCAAAAAACAGCAAAGGATGACATCCTGGAATATGTGAACAGGATGAAGCACTCCTTACTCCCTGGAGACAAAGTGCTGGCACCCTGGGAGCCAGATATGGCCAGGTACGGCCCAGGAACCATCCTCACGGGCATCGAGACAAGGGACCCCTTACGAGGTAAGAAGGATGCTGCCTTCTTCTTCCTCGCCCTGTTCCAGGACATAAGTGAGACTGTCAGGATAAACTCTTGTGATGCTACTGCCAGAGAACCACCAGTGCACAGACTACAGTTTAGCGTTGCTTAAAACTTGCAGTAGCTGATGGGACTTGCTGATTGATATCTGTGTGTAACCTCACCAGGAAGTTGTGACCCGTAAAAATGTTATCTTCCATGTCCGCAGATGTGCTCTTTCCCATCTGCTTGGACAAGGCTGTGTCTGCCATGTGAAGGACGGTGGCCTGTTCATGAGGGATACAAGTGAGACAGCCCTCAGGAAGCACCCATCCATGCTTGAGTGTTCACATTTGTACCGAATGGTACATCTGGGGGTGATCTTATCACCCAAATGTACGAGATTTCAACAGACAATTCATTTTTCCCACGTCTGACAGTCAAGATCCACTGACTTATCAAAATACTATTCTTAGAGCATTACTGCTAACTTTGGCAGTAACAACAAAAGTTACTCAGTCAATGTTTTCGTGTTCATCTGATGACAAATTGGGAGGAAAGATGCTGACAGGCCTGTTGTCACACCGACGGTGCCCTAGCTGCCCACTCCGCCCTCCATGACGTTACGCTGAGGTGTTACAGAGAGGGGTGATAGCTGATCCTACCGCTTGACAGGAGCAGAAAGTGCCTAAAGCTGCGAAGCCTGAGATCTGTATGTGTGCGCTGCCCAGGCAGGCCAGCTGCTTATGGCTGCTTACCTTTTCTCTCAACAGCCTCAGAAGACGAAGAAATTATGGTCCAGTTCTGGAATGACAAGAAAGTGAAACTGCCGCAAGGTGTGGCTCTGTGGATCCCTCCTAGCCTGTGGGAGAGGATTGTAGAGATGATTCACATGCCCTTCACCAGCAGGGTGAAGCCCAGAGAAAGTCCGGACACTAACTCTTGTGTTTTTTCCTGTAGTCCTAAAACAGCCCTGATTCCTGTTTGTGCTGTACACAGCCTTGCCAAGCACTACTTGCTGTGCTTGCCCTGCTGGCCACGTTTCCACTATCACTGTGATGGTATATGCTGTTCGTCAGCATGTGTAAGGTGCATCTGCTGCTGCCGTCCCCATGTTGATGCCTGGTGGCCTCTTCCATCCAGGTCTCTGGCCTTTCGGAGTGAAACTGAAGAGTCAGAGTCCAGCAGTGAGCCCACTCCATGCCTTCTAGAACTGAAAGGCTCAAAACAAGAAGCAGCAGCAGCTGTGGGAGCATCTTCCCCCTCTTCGGATTCCGAGTGGGACCTGGAGCCATTTCCCACTAAGAGTACTGTGGTGGACAGTGCTGTTAACACAGGTCCCAGCTGCCTTGAGAAGCCCAGGCTAAAGGATTCTGCAAGACCCGAGTGGAAATACTGGAAAAGAAGCCACCACAAGTCCCACCCCAGTAATTCAGGTACCTTTTAACACACCCACAGGGAACCAGCAGCCAGAGGGGAAAAAAACCAAAAGTGGTCTGGGCAGTCACTTTGTCTGTAGTTTATTGGTATAAATACTTCAAATTTGCATATCAGTCTCTGATACAATACTTCCCCCTCCCCAATGTTTCTGCTGCCTCATCTTGCATGCTAGCTCTTCTTGTGGCAATTCATCCAATGGAAAACTACCAGAAAAATGGATTTCATTTGGAAGCATAGATATCCCTCTCTGAATTTTGTTCCCCATCATTTTCCTGTGCTTTTTATGATGCTAACATCTTTATTAACCTTCGTAGCTAGTTCATGCAGAATAACCGGAAAGAATTCCTTTCAGGCTTAAAGTACATTTTCCTCTCCTCTGAAATGAATATTTCTCCATTTTAGTTCTGCTTTCACTCTTACATACAATTTTGCTCCTTCCCAGCACTCAGCAGTTGCAGCAGCACATGTACAAAGGGCAAGTCGGAATCCAAAGCCATCTCCGCTGGGAACGTGTCCTGTGTTGTCCCGACTAACAGGAGTGCAATGTTTGAAACCATCGAGCAGTCTCCTAGAGGGCAACTCACAATGAAAGAAATCTTAAGAGACCAAGATTTCAAGCTGTCATTGGGGGTAAAGTAATCTGTATTAATACTATATTTATGTAAGCATGCGATTTGCTTGAATGGAAGAAATATTCCTGTTAATGGTCTGGAAGTTGGCTAGAAAAATACATTGTTTCTAAGTTAACTGATTGCTAAGGCCATCCACCATTCTTGTGATAGGTAGGAAACTTCTCCACTAATTAAAATAAAACAAAAATCCCCAAACCCTAAGGAAGGGCTGAAGCTACTTCATAAAATGGAAAAGATTATGCCAGTAACTGTGTGAGTATTCAGTAATGCAGATTTCAATTCAGAAACCTGCCCATTGACATCACCCCAATGATGTCCTATGGCAATACGGACCTACAGGAGTGGCCCTGGAAATGTACAGATGTGACTGTCAGCAGCAATAAAACACAAGAAAAGATTCAATCTGGAAAGGTGCTGGGGTCTGACAGTCAAACTCTGATAGTCACGATCTCTATCTCTGAAAGATAAAAGCAGATTTTTTTGGTCAACAGTCTTTACTGAGTATCTTCTCTTGCTCCCTCACAAGAAGCAAGCAGTTTAAACAGCAGATCCCTATCCTGAAGCTAGGGGATACAGAGTAAGCAAACTGTGTCACAGCTAGAGAACAAGGACAACACCCTGATTTTTAGGCCTGGTTTCTGTTGGCCATGGTGCCCTCCTGCTTCAGAAAAACTTGGAAAAAAAATCAGAACATGAATGCCAAAAAAAGCAAGCACGGAAAAGAGGAAGAAAAAAGCTTGCAGAAAGAAGGGGAAGATGAAAGAGAATGGCAGGATGAACAGAGACACTGCTCTGCACAAGAGCATCAGGGGTACAATTAATAAATTATGTATCAGAAATCAAATATTAGCTCCTCTGTATCTTCATGCTCTTGCTACTGTGAGCTGACTGCAGAGTAAAACTTTGAATGTGCTAAACTTGCATGATTTTCTTTAGGAGAAAATTAATCTGTTAATGACATGTCTTAGTGAACAGAGAATATACTGGAATGTATCTTGTATTCTCACAATCATATGCATTAATTTGAAGCAGATGCCTACCAACTTATTAATTGTATGGTTCCTACTTTTTTATTTAAATAATCGTAATTGCACACCTTTGTAATTGATTTCCTAGGAATTTTTAGGCCAGTATGGAGTTCCAGGCAGACATGCTCTATGTTAGCAAGTGTCACAGCTGTGCACTGAAGTGACATGCTTTGCCTGTTGATAAAACTAAGAAGAAACCAGAGTGGTTTCATTCTAGCCCCAAACCGGCAGCATGAATCACAGTAGTGGATGCAATGTGGTAATACAGAGTATAATGACATACTTTTATTCATGTAAGACAGCCCTTGGTGTTTTTAAACCCAGAAAATACATTGCTACTCCTTGAGACAGCTGAAGCAGTTTCATCATATAATACAGACTGCATAAGAAGTAACTTGCAACAAACAAGCGAAGCTGGAGAGCAGGCTTCCCAGAGGTGCTCTCTGTGGGGCTAATGCCCTCCCACCGTAGTCACCAAAAATCCTCCGAACTTCTAAAGGAGCAAAGTTTTTGGTCAAAGCCTAACAGCTTCTGAAAATCCTTTGGTCTTATTGTACACTTAGGTGTTTCAGCAGTAAAAGCACAGAGATGATACCATTATTAAAGCTACGTGAGGCAGAGGTACCCATCTTAGAGCCAGGAAAGCAGCAGTTACAAAGACACTGGTGCTTTTTTTAGAGTAGACTTCCAAGGGATTTGTTTTCTGCCCTCCAGGAAGAAGGTTTTGCAGCATCAGAAAAACAAAGATACAAAACAGGAAGAAAGAAAAGAGAGTCAGATGATAAACGTAAAGCGACTTGCATAGCAGATGACAAACTTGACGATACAGACCACGTCAGAAGAGGACAGACAGAAAAAACAGCAAAGAGCTCACTTGCAACAAAGCAGAGAGAACCATGATCAACTGGAATTCAGTAAATGTACAATTGATGAAGGTCAGGAGCTGAAATTTCAGGTAAACTGCTTATACTATATCAGTGTTACATTTATTAAGCAAATCAAGTTCTGATTTAGGTACTGTCTCTGCAGAATATCTTTATGGATAACTATAATTTTAGTAACTGAAAAACTCTATTTCCACCCACATCGGATTTCAGTATCCTCATTCTTTACTCCAAGGTGTTATATTAAATTCCTAATTCTTTGGCCTTGACTTTACAATTCTGGAGAGATCAGGTAAACTAGTATGAGCACTAAAAGCCTGAACAGATGCACAGCAAGGGTCTAATAAACCTCCAATTTGTCTACACTTCTCTGGAGTCAGCTAGAGGAATTCAGCATAGCGATTTCTTTTTTGTAGAAAGCCAGAAGGAATGGAGAAACAATACAAGCTGATAGCTGAAAATATTTTTTTTTCAGGATTAAAGCAGAAGAGAAAGTAGCCAGAGGGTAAAGGACCTGCTACTGTACATACAAACAACAAAATGCTTAGAGATCCAGCATTCAAGTCACTGAATTTTATATTCACATGAAAATTAGCTGAAACCTTAATACCATCAGCTATGTAAAGATTACAGATATATATAGGTCATGTCACTAATTCTAACTGTGGAATCTGATCCTTCAGGAGAGTTAAGCATCCAGGGAGTTTCGTTAGTGGGACTGCTCATGTTTAAAGCGCATGAACTTGGCCATAAGCTGCAGTGTGCAGTTGCTCAGCAATACATTTCCCCCTCCAGGAAAGAGGAGACAATTCAGCGTACCCTACCGCCTACTGAAAAAGGCAGCTAACTGGTCTTTAGCCTAGGTAAGAGCCTGCAAAAGACAGGACTTGAAGTGTCAATAGTTTATGTGCCTATACTGAACATCTGATACATATTCAAGCACCTTCCTGAGTTGGGGTCCTAGATAGTGAAATTCATTTGCAGTTTACTTCTTTCTCAGAATAATAAAAGTACAGATAGGAGAGATGCGTTGTGAGCCAGCTGCTCTAAAATCAGTGCCAGCCTACAGAAGCTAATGTACATCCATATTCATACCACATGGATCACGCTTTCTGTGGTCAAGAATGTGACACGGACATTCTGTCTGAGGATAATATAAAAGAAGCTGTCATCACAAAGATTAAATTATGTATTTTATTCCACTGATTATATCTTCAATTGTTTAAAGCATAAGAACTTGGAATTACACAGTCACATAATTGGATTTAAGGCACACAATGTACAAATATTTATAAAATCAGTGTACAAAGTGGGCTTCATATAATTGTATTAAGTAGAAAACAAATATACAGGCCGTAAAAATGGAGTCCCAAAGAGGAGGATACTATTAAAGTGCTAACAAGAGAAAGATATACATAGTTCATTACATGCATTAAAACAGCCTCGTATTTTATTCCTGTGATTGCCAAGAAACAACAAACATCATAGAACAAAAGTTAAATCAACACTTTGTCCTGCGTTGACATCCACCACGTGGGTTTGTTGCACCATGTCCTCTGAGGTTGCTGTGACAGAATAGGTGCCAGGAGAAACTTCAATGTAGATGTCTTTGGAAGCTTGTCTGGTCTTTAGGGAGGGAAAAAATAAGTTCCATTACTGTTTAGTCATCTTAGATCTCCCACAAAAATAAGCATTTTGAATTTGGGTAAAAAAAATACCTTTCAGCTGCTATATAAACATACTAAGGTTTTTCAAAATATACAGGCAGCTTGGACAAAACTGTAAAATGTTTCTGTCGATACAAAAATTAGCAAGTACCATACTCAAAGTATTTCATTTAATGTTTCAATCAATGGAAATAATCAACATGCTGTAATCTCTGCCTCACATAACTGAAAGTTACCAACCTAAACGGTTTTGAACATAAACCTGGAAAACATCCATACAACAAGGGTGCTCCTACTAATTTGTACTGTGGTACAGATTCCATGTTTCTCATCTTTTGTGGCTTAGAAGTCCCTGAAACTCATTTGGTGAGGTGTTAGGCTTTGCAAAATAAAAAAAGTTTTCTCCTTGAGGAACAGGAGTCTTCAGAGAGACTGTATGAGGGCCAAGCATAACTGGCTAAGCAACTACCGTGTGCTTTGCTGCATGCTTTTCCTCAGCACAGGGAATGGGTCAGGAGCACAAATAAGGTGAGACTGGAGAACTGGTGGGTTATTGTTGCTGATGCAATTCACAAGAGCCCAAAGTTAATAACAGTGTCTGAAGTTCTGTACCAGTCCAAAATATAAAGTAGACTCTTAACTGGTTATGTGCCAGAATGCCACAATCTGGTTTATAATTCATTTATAATTAATTGTGCAAATCTCTGTATGCCCATTCTACTGCCCACCTATACATACAATAGGATTGTGAATGCACCACTGGTTAATCTTCTGTGCCATCACAAAGTCTCCACACCTGATCACAAATTTTAACCAGCTTGATGCAAAATGATAAAGAAATGCTACACCTCAACCTAAAAGTATTCTATAAACTTACACGTTGCTGGCAAGTTTGAGCTTGACTGGGTGCTAGAGAGTCTTCAGTCCTCTGGAAAGAAAAAGATACTGTTTTCTAATGATACAACGCAAAAGGCAAATTCAACCCCTGAGAAAGGGGATGCTTTATGTCCATGAAATTTTCCCCTCCACAAAAGGATGGATATGACACTGACTGGTGCCACCAGAAGTTACTCTGCCTCCCCCAGAACGCTCAGATCAGTCCAGGTGATCATATGCCCATGATGTCAAACCACATACATTAGTGTAAGCAAGTGTCACAGACACTAGATGGATAACAATTGTCCCATGGCGAGGGAAGGAATAACCTTTAATCAAAACCAAAAACACATACTTACCTCTTCCTCAGAGGACTCCAGCTCTCTTTCCCCTGCTTGCCTGCCATGGTATCTGCAGATGTGTTTGATTTCATGCTCTTTGTGTCTACAGGCTGCCATGAAGCTATAGTACTTCTGGACAACAACAGAAACAGAGAATATTATGTGGAGAAGCATCAAAGTCACGCTCACAACTACTGCAGATTTACAATTAGAAGTGGAACTGCACAGCTACTGACCTTCTGTATTAATTGGCTGGTTTGTTCTTGTGTGAAGATGAAAACAATGCTTGGATATCCACAGGACATCTGCCTTCTGGTACAAAACTCTCAGTCCTGATTTTAGATGCCTGTCTCCCGACACAATCCATAGGGACTCTCTGACACCTCAGAACTGAATTAATGAAAATACCAGAAGGAATGTTCTGGAAATATCTACCTGATCAGGCTCTTCAAGAAAAGCTCTGGTGGAAAAAGGCATAGCTTATGGGATATATATGCAAGCTAGGTGCTTTGCAACCTAGCCAGTTGTCCTGGTTTCAGCTGGGATAGAGTTAATTTTCTTCCTAGTAGCTGGTTTAGTGCTGTTTTGGATTTAGTATAAGAATAATGTTGATAACACACTGATGTTTTAGTTGTTGCTAAGTAGTGTTTATGCTAAGTCAAGGACTTTTCTGCTTCCCACCCTCTGCCAGGTGCACAAGAAGCTGGGAGGGAGCACAGCCAGGACAGCTGACCCAGACTGGCCAAAGGGCTGTTCCATACCATATGATGTCATGCTCAGATATAAGCTGTGGGGAGTTGGCTGGGGGGCAGTGATTGCTGCCCAGGGACTGGCTGGGCATCAGTCGGTGGGTGGTGAGCAACTGCATCGTGCACCACTTGCTTTGTATATTTTTTTAATTATTATTTTACTTTATTTCAATTATTAAACTGTTCTTATCTCAACGCACAAGTTTTCTTACTCTTCTGATTCTCTCCCCCGCCCCACCAGGGTTGGGGGGGGGAGTGAGAAAGTGGCTGTGTGGTGCTTAGTTGCCGCCTAGGGTTAAACCACGACACCAGTGAAGACTGGTTCTGCAGGGCACATGCAGGAGCAGTGCTCTAAAAGCAGAACATGTTAATACTGAAAAATGAGTTGGTGACGAAGCTGAAGTGTCCTCAAGGCTGGTACCAGTAGCAGAGCGGTTTTGAAAATTGTATTTAAATCTACAGCAGCCCTTTTCTGGCTCCACAGTAAAGGAACTTCAGTCTTCCCCACTGCAAATTAAATATTTGAGTACAGCTCTGCTGCCATCTGTTGTCACCAGAGAACTCCTCCCAGGGTTACCTTTTTGATCACAGGGACCAAAAAGTTCCAAAATATCTATTTTATTTCACTTGTATTTTCCTTGTCTCTGACTGTCAAGACTAAACAAAAATAAGGCCAATAGCAATTCTTATTTCCAAATCTACTGCTGTGCTTTATTCCTTGAGGTTATGCACACATCAACAGATTTGGTTGCTTGTATTGTGGTTTACTGTGGAGCTATGTCCCAAAATACATCAAATACTCTTACCTATTGCATAGTGTTTCAAAGAACATCTCTGTGTCACAGGAGGTGAGCTGGATTCTTTTACATGACGTCACAAGAGCAAAGAAATTAAATCAAACTTTTGGTAAGAAATGTGGGTAAACTTTGGTCCCTTAGTAACTCTAAACAACGCATCTTAAATCACAATTTTAATTGTTTGCATTCAGGTGCCTAAACGGTTCTGTGTGGCTGTGGATTTTCCACTTTGTAAACTATAGCCGTGAACTCGTGGGTCTGAGAATTACCCCCCCCCCCCCCAATGACTCTTCTTCTCTACAGAAGATGACTGAAGCAGTACTATCTTGGCTGGTGCATAAATATGGAAGTCATCCACTGTTTGTTCCAACTCTAATACTCCTAACAGGCCATAGGATAAGTCTCTATACACTGTTATATTTTTGTTTCATCTTCTGCAAAACTCTATTCTGCCTGTGTTGTTTTAGGATTAACTGGTTACTGTGTATGTAGTGCTTTGACATGATAAAGATGTTGCTTAAGAGCTAATCATCTGGTGCATGTTGAACTACTGTTTTCTTTAATTTAATTGAAGACTTAGCCTCTGTTATTAACTCTGCAGACAATGAGCTCCCTGCTGCACTGTGATAACAG